CGAGGCGACTTCCAAGCTTCCTCTTTTGGAGAGCCTCCGTTTGCCAGAAATGAAATGGGGTTGACCCCCGGAACGTATCCGGGGTGATGGGGGAGGGTAGAGGAAAGGGAGACCTGCGAGGTTTCTGGAGAACTTCCCCCCTTCAGAGCCTGAAGTCATGTCACACACACACACACACAGCTTCCTCGAACCCGCCCTGAGCTGTTTTGAAAGTTGCAAAGACACTGTTTCTCTTTCTGCTTCAGAGCTCGGCTGCAGNAATAATACTCTTGCACTACGGAGCAAAGTGGCTGAAACGGTACCAACGCTACCAGTGTGACGATGTCACACCTACAATTTAAAGACGCCTTTTGGGTAAGTGCCCGTTTCTTGTGTTCCTCCTTTACAGAGCTAAGAAGCGACCCTTTTATGGGGAAGATTCAGCATTACCGCTTATACCTGGCACAGGTGGTCATCATCCTTCATCCAAGTGTGTCCGAGTGATTTAGGAAGGCTCTCGGGGATGCGTTTATCAGCTGAGACCGTCGCGCCGCAACTAGAAGACTCAAAAGTTGGGTTCTGTGGACCCCTGCCATTTCGTCAGATGATGAAATGGGCGGCAGTTCCACAGATGCTTCTTCTAGATAAAACTGGTTAGGTGTTGTTGTTTTTTAAGATGCCGTGAAACTCTTGATTGGTTTGTGGGGTTTTTTTGGTTTGGTTTGGTTTTTTGCTCCTGGGGTTCATACGGCTAAATCCCCACTTGAATTATTTGCAAGCTAGTCGCTTGCTCCCAGTTCACTTCCTCTGCATGCAATTAAAGCTCCTGCCACGTACTTTTCCCTGTCCTGGCCTTGGAGTCCGGCTTCAGCACCTTTCCTCAGTGGTGCTTCCTTATCCCCATAGGTCATGTCTGATGGGAGATCGTTGGGGGTCACATTTGGGTTGTGGCCTTCTGCAACTGGCGTTTCAGAGCTCCTGATGTTTGTCCTGCTGTGTGTCACATCGATGAGTGATACTAAAAATATCTTATCTTTTTCATTTTAAGATGGCTGGTAGTTTTTTGGTTTCGGCTGTCGATGTGTGTACTGTTTCCCTAGAAGCCTGCACTCCGTGCTTCAGCCGGCTGACTTTGTTTCATTTTCCCTCCTCTCTCGTCCTTAATTTCCAACTCTCAGACAGATGGAATCGACGCCTGATGGAGAGGGGCAGAGCCAACGATTGCTAATACATGTCAGTTTTGTGTGATTGTCCCTTACATCTTAAAAAATGCACACAGATCGGCAGTTGGTTTGAATTTCTTCTTCACCCCTGTGCCCCCTTTTTTTTGAGGGTGGGTTTTTGATGGTGGGCCCTACCCTTTGGAAGAGTGGCGAACCATTGGGTTAGGGTTGTCATGAAACAGCATCAAATGGCTGGTTGATTAATTTTTCACAGTGGTGTTTTCAGTGGCAGGAAAGGGAGATACATGCTTATGGGAAATTCTGCAATTCCCTGGATGGGCTCAAGAACTGCATGCTTCCACAGGCGTTTCCGGTTCTGCTTCGGGCAGGAAAATGGCTTTATTTCCTGCCCGAAATGGTGCTACCAATCTTAGCCATATTTTCTTCTACGGGGTGCATTCTGAATGCATTCCCCCCCCCCATGCACTTGAATACACATTCAGTGATGATCTTTGAACTGTGAACCATTGCAAAATTTCGTGGGGAAAAAAGTTAAAAAAACCAAAGGACAACTCTGTTTCATCACCTATGGTTTGTCTAGGATATGTGAAGGAAGTTGGTTTACAGCAAAATGTGGTCCAAAAAGTTGAGCATCTCTCTGGCCAGGCGAAAACCATTGTCCCTGCTGGACAAGGTTAGGGGGACCCTCCCATGTTTTATCCTGTGGCAGGCTTATCAAGGATGGCCCTCTGGGGCACATGGCTGTGACCCAATGATTGTGTGGCCCTTCTCAAAAATCCTGTATTGAAACAAGATTTCAGGATGCTGGGAACTTAAAATGGAACTTCCCAGACCTGATGATAAGGGTTGGCCTCTTGCGTATGTCATGGTTGGTGGGAAGGGTTTAGGAAAGAGCCAGTGGGTGCTTGTTCTTGTGTATCTCTCATCACCTGGAGTGAGGCAGGGAAGGGAATCCTGGTGGGGCAGCTTGGGACCCTTTTTTCTGCTCTACACATCTTAGCGGCAGTGATGGAGGGCCAGGAAAACACTCTCCAAGAATTGGTGGTGAGTCATCAGCAAACCCCAGAAGCAGCGTAGGGAACTGGGGGAAATAACTCCTTATGTAAGCTGGAGGTATGATTGTGCAAGATGCCAGTCCTAGCAATGGATGGTAAGACTGACATCTTGCAGAGCTGGAAGGGGCCTGATGAATCATCAGGTCAAGGAGCCAAGGAGGCATCGTGGGGAATCAAACTCTCGTCTCCTCAATGCCTTTTTCCTGGTCACCCCCAAAATGGCTTCCTTTCCCAGCTTGGACGTTATATAGAAGTTTGGTCCATCTTCCTGGATTTATTTGGGCCCATTTCGCCCCATCAATCAGCCCAGAACAACTTCAGCCTCCTCCTTTGCCTTTTGTGACATTATGAGGACCCATCCTGGTGGCCACACAACGCCCTGTCTCGTGGCATCAGAAGGGCCCTTCCTTTCGTCTTAGGCTTGGGTTCTAGGGACACTTCTGGCCTGGCAACCCTTCCGATTGGGTAAGCCTGGTGAGTTCACACCCAGGGGAGTCGTACCAGGAAGAAGGTATGGCTTCAACACCACGTCTCTCTCTCTCTCCTGTGTGACTTCAGCCCAGAGGTATTGGTGCTAGCCCCATGGAAAGGTTTGCACAGTCAAAACCACTCCATGCTTATTTGTATGTAAAGTACAGGGGGATTTACTCCCTTGCAACTCTATAGGGGATCGGAACCTTCCTTTCTTAAGAGGGAAAGGAGGGATTGCTCGTAGGATGCCCTCCCTCCAAGTCCCAATTGGCACCGTCTTTGCTCTTATCTGGGCACCCTGATTTGGCTGTTCACCTGGGCTAAAAATTGCCTGTGCATTGTAAGGCTTTGTTCTTTCACCTCTTCGGTCATGATGGGCCTCATTTTGTAGGAAGGCGGGTGGCTTCAGATTGTTTTTAAAGTGACTTAATTTTGCTATACTCTGCTCTGGATTCTGCCGACGTAAGGCAGTAAGAACTATTTTAATAACTTTTTTTAAAAAGAGGAGAAGCTGCTGATGTCCTTTCCACCACCCCTCTATTGGGTGGCTGCTTGTACTTTGGCAAAAACAGACAAACCCAAGTGAGCGAGCGAGCGAGCGAGCAAGCAAGCAAGCAAGCAAGCAAGCAAGCAAGAAGAACCCACTTATTTGGTGCAGCTACTCTCAGCGCCAACAACAAACAGCTCCTTTGCAGACATAATCTCACTGCAATTCCTGAGAAGATGACCCAAGACCAAAAGGGATGGGGAGAGGAGGGGAGAGAGTCGTAGGGAGATGAAAGTTGCAAATCAGTGTAAGATGCCCTAGGAGTCAGTCCGGTTCGGCTGTGCTCCTCCATGGCTGTGCCCAAAGACCGAGTTTTTGTTTAAATGTAAGTCTCCTGTGTCTAACCTTTACCTTTCCTTCCTTCCTGTGCTTTCCGTGGCAAGCCTTCTTCACCACAAACCCAAGTCGATGCACGCATACTCATAACGAAGCCCCACTGCAACTTACTACCTCCCTGAGAGGTGCGCATGTTGGCTGCATTCCTAAGTGCATTTGAATACACTGGAACATTGCAATAATCATACATAGAAAGGCACTGTTAATCTGCTCCCCACCAGCCCTTGATCTGTTTCTCCCTCTCCCTGTGGTTTCAGCTCCATGTTATTAACATTTGCATGTTACTTTGGGTATCCACCTGGGGAGGCTGCATGCATGCAAAGGCTTGGGTTTTTAGAATGGTAACGGGGATCTGAAGCCTTGTGTTGATCAGGTGAGGAGCAGAGTCAGAGAGGTGGTAATTGGAAACTGGGCGTAGATCGTTCAGTGAGATGCATGCCTCTCAAGGATTTCTGGGACTTTAAAAATTTCAAGGAAATCTGCAGTTGTTACTGTATTTTAAAAAAATCCCTCTGCCACAACCAACTTTCTGCTAATAAAATTTCTCTCTGTCTCAGGACTCTTGGCTTGTAAGACAGAAGAAAGAGTTGGTTAATTTTTACCATGGCCTTCTTCAGCTCTCTTTGGCCAGGTAGATATTCGAATCTCTTCTAAGAGGAAAGACAGTCCCTTCATGAATTAATATTTTTATCCTACCTTTCTGCTTAAAAAGGAGACAAGGTTGGAAAAAAAGCAGACAGTACAGTTAGCACAACATTTGAAGCAGTGCTCACTTAGAAAGTAAAAGACATTTATCTTAGTATGAGCTTGATTCACTCCATGTATTACAAATTAGCCTGCATTGTCCTGTGACTGGTCCCTGGGATGTCCTTTCGGGCTTCCTTTGCAAGTCTGGCTGCTCAGACACAGAGCTTTGAAGGAACTTTGTACCTGGAGGGAAAATCTTAGAATAGGAGGAGACACGCTTTTTCTTTAAGGCGTCATTTGACCCCCAGATGCGTATTTGAAACTAACTCTAGAAGCTCATCCTCCTGGGTAGCTACTCTAAGATAACCTGCTAGTCTGTCTGGCTTCTGTTAATGGAAATTTTGGAGGTAGTGGATGGGGACCCTTAGCTTACAAAACATCCTGAATCGAGCTCTTAACAATGGTTGGGGAGCAGAAATCAGAACTCACTTTGCGGAGGGAGGTCAAACTTTCCCAACAGGGAATGACCATGCTCGCTGGGCATCTCTCCATAGTTCCCAAAAAGAACATCTATGCACTGCATGCTACAGAAAACAAAAATAGGTACCATGGCAGTGATGACGAAGTTTGCTTCCTAAGTACAAAGGCCACAGCGCAGCAATAATTTCAAGAAGACATTTCCCCCCTTTTGGAGCATTCAGTGGCTGTGAAAGGGGCAGTCGTGCAGTCTTGGGCAGAATCGATGCTGTCTGGAAACAACAGCTGTAGAAAAGGAAGGATGTTATGAGAAAACGATGAGAAGTTAAAGACAGCAGGGAGATATTTCCTCCTAGGAGCAAAGGTGTGTTTAAGGTCGTATTTATAATTTGTTTCATCAAACTTATATTTATTAAATTAAAACTCATCCCAGCCCATTGGCAATGCTAGCAGAGGTTTCCGGAAATGAAAGGACCAAGGATCTGGTGATTTCAGACCTAAGGAAGAAAGATCTCTTCCTTCTGTGCTCCTAACTGGTGGAACAGCTGAGCCCCGAAGAGGAATAGACGGTTCTTTGGGTTTTTTGAAATGACTCAGCTGGTCAAGGACAGGGTGCAAGAATCGTCTTTTATTGCAATCTGCTTTCCAAACGCCCACGATTTTGTAACACAGGCATGGCAGGTTGGTGGAACCGCAGAAGCGAGAGGCCTGTGGCACACGCCGCCTGTTCATTTCCTCTGGAAGAGCCCCATCAGCCCCGCATGATAGGTCTGTGAATTTTGGATTGCCTGCCGCTCTTCTTTTAAAAATGCTTCTCAGTTCCATTGTTCTCCTGCAAAGAGTCGGGTGGTCAGCGGGGAAGAAGAAAGGAAGATCCGTTCGGTTGAGATGCAATGACGGGCGTTTCCCGCCAGATATGGGGCCCTGATTTCACGTAAACGTGTGTATAATTTTAGAAAAAGTGATGTGAGTAACATAGCTTGAAAAGCTTCCCTTTTTTTCTTTTTCTTTTTTGGACTACCAAACGCTGGCTTCTGGGAGCAGTGGTCCAAAAATGTAACTTCCCCCAGTTCTGATAAGCAGCGCCTGTTGCCGCCTTCCTTAACCCCTTATACTTTAGATGCTTTAGAAAGCAATCTTGTCACTCAAGCCAGGGTGGCCATCTTTTACTCTGGAATAATGAGAGTGATGGATCAACACAACTGAGTCATGGGAAAGGGGCTGGCCTAGAGTTTTGCCCCAAAGACACAGACATGAAGGTTGTTGATACAGGTAAAATTCCTCCTCTTTTTTTGCCACACAGCAGAAGTACAGAGACTCACAGAGGACAACAGCTTCAAGTTACCCAGACAATCCACCTCTCTCACTAACTAGCACTTATACTAGTCTCAATAACTCACTCTGAGACCTTTGTAGGGGAAAGGATAAAAATGTTTCATCACTTACAGAGACGAACAGATCAACAGCAAACAAACACAGACTTCTAAGAGACTAAAGCAAAGCAAAGCAAAGGAACCCTCCGCAGAGAGGCGGGGCTCTGTTTGAATTCAGAGGTAGGGAAGGAACGATGGCTTTGCATTGGATAAATTGACAGTCACTCCAGCCCAGAAAGGTCCCTCTCAGCCACACCTTCTAGAGCCAGCATGCAAGGCTGTAAAAACTCCAACACCACAATGGATATCATAGGAAACAGCCTTCTGTGGAGTGTGCCCTTGCTTATTGGTACAATGAATAACATTGTCCAGTTACTCTTTCACGTGACATTTTTAAGGGCATTTTTAGATGTTTTTCAGCAGGTATTATTCCAACGATATTCCATTCTCTTGCCCTTTTTTTTAAAAAAAGCAAGCAACAGCACCCGTTATTCATCCTTTTTGCATTTGGGTGATGCGGGTGGGCATGGCTCCTTAAGAGAACTAAGTTCTACTGCGAGGAGGAATCAAGAAGCAGGTGCAGAAAGGTGGCAGGAAGGCGTCGGAGAAGAGCGAGAGAGCGCTGCATGCCTGTGACCCGCGGGAAGGCATCCTGTACCTTCTCCTAAGCCAGTCTGTGGCCTTCAAAGAGGATCAAGGGTCCTTGACATTGATGGTGCCGGAGGAAAATTTGGCAACCTCTTCTGTCATACCAGAGCCAGGATCTAGCCATCTGAGCGCTGAAAGGCTCCCTCGCTGTCTTGCTTCATGTGAGATTAATGGACTTGGGGCAAAGATAAAGGAATGAGAGATCTACTGTAGGGCTGGGTGTTGGCAGCCACATTAATTCTGTTTTGCCCTTTCCTTCTGACTGAGGAGGAGTGGTTGGGGGGGAGGCACTATAGGTGTTGGCGGGACAGGAAGTCAGAGGGAGGGCCCGTTCACTCCTTCCCAGCAGCAAAACACCACCAGCAGGTTTGCTCCCTTCGAAATGTTGCCACCCTGTTTTAAAGCTCCGATCGCCTGGCCCTTGATGTCCATCTCTGAGATGGTCTTCGGAAAGGGCATGGTAGGCATTGCTTTGCTTCAAGGCTGTCCCTGTGAAGAATCTGTAGGGCAGGTGAAAACAGAGGGTTACGGGTTTGATCCATCCCGTTTTCAGAATCCATAGGGGCAAAATCTTTGCCACCCTAGAAATTCCCTCTAAGTCAGGATCACACAACACATAACGACCTATATCCAGGCCCTGCTTTGTGTGTGTGTGTGTGTGTGTGTGTGCATGTGTGTGTTTGTGTGTGCGCGCATGTGCATGTGCCTCCAATAGGTACATCTTGTTGGCTACTCTGTGAACATGATTGCTGCTCTAGAACGGCCTTCGATTTGTCCCCTCTGGAGTTCTTCTTTGGCTCTCTCGATCCAATGTCTGACCTTTACACTCTGGAGTGTTCTTCTGTGTTCTAAACGGCAGGGATGTTTCCCTGGAAAAAAGATGACCAGTTTGTTGAGATCTGATTCAAAAGAGGCGCATGAGTCAGGCCCAAGGGGGTGGGGTGATGGGACCAGAGACAAGCGCGAGATGCTAGCACGCCAACAGTAATCACAAAGTGCCCGTCACGTCCTCAAGACTTTCTGTCTTGACCTGGTCTCCGCAGCATTTTCGGAATGGCGAACCCCACGGTAGGCTTCCTAATGGCTCTTTTAATTTACCAGTCCTTTCACCAGTCTGAATTCAAAAGGTCCCTCTCCTCCCACTACAGATGCAGGAAACACTGTGTCTTGAATAGGAGTATGTGTCTTATGGATTTTTATCGTTGGCTGGCTGCGTATTTTCAGAGAGATCGTGAGAACTGCTGGATAGCTCAGTGGTTTAGGTATCTGGCTATGGAGCCAAAGGCTGAGAGTTCGATTCCCCCACTGGGCCTGCCTGACAGGGGATGAACTCAATGATCCATAAGGTCTCTTCCCATTTTAACCTCTAAGTTACCAGTGTGGTCCTAACCGTCTTCTTTTGGATGTTTAGTACCCCTGAATGTAAAACCCAGATGAGACTGCACACAGTTTGGTGCTGTGAGTTAAGATAATGATTGCTAGACACCATATGGAGTCTTGCACCATCTGGAAGACTAACCATTTTACAGTATTTGGAGTAAGCACAGAAGGGGGCTATAGGAAAATTTACATGAAACAAAAGGTACCAATCTTCTAAATGCCACAGTACTCCCCCTCTGTTTTCGCTGCCACAGCCTAACACAGCAACTCCCCAGGGAATTTCTACTAGAGATAGTTTTTTGGATGATGGTGCTTTTTCTGTGGGACTGTCCCCCAAGGAAGCCTAGAAGTAAGGGTTTTATTTTCCCTCCACATGTTGACAAACTAGTACAGTACTTTCGTTTGTTTTTAAAGAAAGCTTTTTGGGCAGGATAATTGAATGTGTTGCATTTTGTTAGTATTTTTCCGGTTGCTACTAGCATTGTTGGTACATTTAGAAAAAATACATTGCTCAGCTTTTAAACGACGTTTTGCTCATCTATGGCTATTATGAAGGTAGCATTATTTTCTTAGTCTTGCTGGGTTTTTAAATTTCCTCTTAATGGGAAACAAACCAGAGGTCTGTGGTTTGGGAACCTCCTGAATGAGGAAGCTTCTATATGGGGTCAGATTAACCCTTTGTATGTTCCATACATCTGTAGCCTTGTTCCTAATTCATTCTGTCTCCTGTGCTGTGCTGTTCAGTGAATGGGAAGTATGCATCTCTGATTCCAGGAAGAACGTGGTGTGGAAGGAACCCTGCCAGAGAGAGAGACAGGCTCAAATTCACACTCAAGCCATGGAGCTTGAGCCAAAAAGAGGTGTTCATGTTCAGACTAGACTAGGCATCCTTCAGTCTTGAGAGACTATGGCCACGTGCTCTGTATGGAGGACTTGGAACAGCGTCTAGTGTG